TCGGCCAGAGTGGTGTGAAGCATACCATCACTGGACCCGGAATGGAAACATGTTCTCTGGAGTGATGAATCATGCTTCACTATCTGACAGTCTGATAGAAAAATCTGGGTGTGGCAGATGCTAGAACACTACCTTCCGGAATGCATACTGTCCACTGTAATGTTTTGTGGAGGAGGGACTTGGCTCTATCTATAGAGGGTCTCGTGAAATCCTCCATAGACCTCACATACTCTTCTGTATGCCATTAGCTGAAGAGGACCCGCCGGAGGAAGAAAGCTGCACCTGCGAGGGACATGTTCAGATAAGTAGAACTCACTTACGGCCAATGGCCCCCAGCAGCAATGTCACCATCAAGGGTCTGACGAAACAATGGGCCTCAATTTAATATCCTTGAATAAACTTTGCAAATTATTTAATATTTCTGTATAAACCTTTTAAATGTTTTTTTTACCATATTAAAATATCAAAAACATATTATAAAAAAAGCATATCAAAAAATATCTAAATAATACAACAATTTTATATTTTTATTCATTTCAAATGTTTATCCAAAAATATTAAATCATTTTGAAAGCTTATACAACAATATTAAATAGTGATTTGCTCTGATATACCAAGGAATATTGAACTGAAATCCCCTAATTACCGGTAGTCCCTAAATTTATCTCAATTCACATATTTGAGGATAATTAATCAGCAAGTTGGCATTTTTCAACGAGTGAAATAGAAATGACATGAAATAAAAGATTTGTGTCACAGACAGTTTTGCACAATGTATTAAATCTGATGTTTTTTTTGCCCATTTCTTCTTTTACACCCTATTATTTTTGAATGTGTATAATTTTTTCAGAGGCATGATGGGTTTATCAATATTTCCGTCAGTCTTTCTGCCAGAAAATTGTTCTGTTTCATTTACCTTTGTTTTCACCACCCTAAATTAAGCTGTATTTTCCAAATTCGATATTTCTGGGGAAAATGGCAGAATTTCCGTAGCAGAAAACAACACTTTTAAAACCGTTTTTAGAACAATTTATGAACAGATTAAAGCTTAAAATTTACATCACGTTGTGACAGATCACCCTGTCCCTGGAATCATTAAATGACTACTTTTTCATTGCATGGCCAGTATACGAACATCACCAAGCAGATTATCCCATTTGGTTCGTATACCAAACAAAGTACTGTGGTGGACTACGCTAACCGTTACCCAGAAGCCGTTGCCCTCTCGAACATCCAGGCAGACACTGTTGCCAGTGGGCTGGTTGGGATCTTCGCAAAAGTAGGTTTTCCACAGGAAATCCTCTCTGACCAGGGAACGCAATTTACAGCAGATCTTACCAATCAGCTATGGAAGTCTGTGGTATTAAGCCAATACTCAGCTCGCCATACCACCCACAGACTAACGGTCTCTGTTAACGGTTCCTTCAAACAAATGTTGAGGACCTTTACTGAATATTACAGAGACTGGGAGTGATTCCTGCCTCACCTCTTGTTTGTTTTTTCGAGAGGTGCCACAGGAATCCACTGAGTTTCAGGCAGCATGGCAGGGCCCTTACAAGGTGGTAGAACAGTTATGTGACATGTAATTGCCAGCTGTGCTGATGAGAGGATCCGGAGATCCTTTCATATTAATATGTTAAAAGAATATCAGGAAAGGCAGGAAGACATAGCAGCCATATTTGCCCCAGCCACAGACAACCCCAACAGTCTTCCCCTACCCGACCTATAGGAGAGGGACTCTCAGATCGATCTACTCAACAAGGTGGAGCTAGGGGACCGATTAAGGTCCGTAGAGTTGTTAGAAGGCAAGCTTCTCCCAAGAGCCCGGTTTCACCACTCTAGCCACTCATAGAGTAGAGACCCCTGGGCAAGCTCCACTCAGACAACCCCCCTACCATATTCCTGAAGTGGTATGCAAAGGAATGCAGGGAGAAATAGAGGAAATGTTGAAACTAGAGGTCATTGGACCCTCAGATGGTGCGTGGGCTTCACCGGTAGTCGTTATCTGGCCACGATAGACCTGTGCAATGGCTATTGACAGATCCCCCTGGTCGAGGAGGCTATCCTTAAGTCGGCCTTCGTTACCCCTTTTGGCTTGTACCAGTTTAAGGTCATGCCATTCAGGATGAAGAACGCCCCGGCCACCTTTCAGCACTTGGTGGATAGGCTCCTCGATAGCTTCCAGGATTTCGCCTGTGCGTACCTGGATGACATTGCAATCTACAGTGAGTCCTGGGAGGAACACTTAGTTCATGTAGGGACAGTGCTGGATCAGATTCAGGCCGCTGGTCTGACTCTGAAGCCAGACAAATGCCATCTGGGGCATGGCAGAAGTCCAGTTTTTTGGACACCGGGTGGAGTGTGGGAAACAGCGACCAGAACCTGCTAAGATTGAAGCGGTTGCTAAATGGCCCACACCTCGTACCAAGACCCAAGTATTGACCTGCCTGGGGACCGTGGGGAATTAAAGTAATTTCATGCCTGACTACAGTACTATAGCTAAACCCCTGATGGACTTGACAAAGTAAAGCTTACCTAGGCAGGTCCTGTGGTCTCCCACATGTGAAACTGTGTTTCAGTCCCTATGGAAAGAATTGATTTATGCCCTTGTATTGGCTGCCCCAGTCCCCAACAAACGTTTTATTGTCCACACAGACGTTTCCATGTTTGGGCTGGGGGCAGTTTTAAGACAAGTCAGAGAAGATGGAGGATAGCACCCTGTTGCATATTTCAGTAGGAAACTATTACCCCAGGAGATGAGCTATGCGGCAGTAGAAAAGGAATGTTTGGCCTTGGTGTGGGCCTTGAAGAAATTGACTCCTTACTTATACGGACTTAAACTTACGCTGATTAATGACCACAACCCATTGGTGTGGCTTAACCAGGTCGCAGGCGACTATGGCCGATTGTTGTGGTGGAGTTTGGCACTCCAACCCTACAATTTCACTATGGATGAATACGTGGTGGCGGCCATCTTTAGCCGCGAACGCATACAGCGCAGTTTGGTCGTCGAGTGCATGGAATTAAAATCAGGCGCTCAACAGCGCGAACACTGATGGAACTTCCATCCCCACGCACGTTCGGTTCTATTCGTCTAGGAAGAGCGGCGTTCGGTGGGAACACACTCCGGAACAGGGGGCACATGACCATCACTCGTACAAACTGTTTTATTGTGTTTTGTACTCTCGAAAGAGACCGACTATAGTCTAAACTATAGCCCGGTGGCGTTTCGGCTGCATTTGTGGGATTTGAGTACTTTTGGGATATGTTGGGCGCTCAGATCCAGGCTATCCAGGGATATAGGACTTGAGGGGGTACCTGTTAATATTATCTGTATTTTGGGGTGTTATTGATATGTATGTCCTGGACCTGAGCGTTAATGTCATTAAGTTGTGTACTTTGTCACAGTCTCCTCTCAGGTCCAGTGGGGAATGCCCTGAAATATGTATTAGGAAACCCATTGCATGGGGACCTGCATATAAGGCCAGTTGTGGCTGCCATTAAACAGTTCCACTTCACCCTCAACACAGAGCCTCGTCTCGTGATTTTAGGGAACAGCTATACCTGCTTTATTACCGATTGGATTACTGCATGGAAATACTACAGCATTACTCATACTAGGGGGGAGGACATCTCTGGCGGCGGAAACCCCTCTTCTCTCGGGGTGGCCGCCACACACGTTTTAAAACACTTTTATAAATCTTCTCCCATGTTTAACGTAAGACCATCATCACAGGTGCATATCCCGGTCAATAGCAGAAACTAGACACTTTTGTTCATGTACGTTTCAAAAAGCATGTGTCTAGCTATGAGCTGTTTACTCGTGATTCCTGATTGCCTGGCACAAGATTCCCGTCACTGTGATTAACTCAATTCACTGTTAATCACAAAGTCCGGGGATATTTGTTTGAGTGCATAAATACTTGTCCTAAACTTGCCTTTCCTGTAAATGTTTAGGCAGCTATAAATGAAGAACTGCGCTCAATTTGCAAATGGAAGTTTAAACACATTGATAAGCATAATTTGTCTTCTTTAGCATTTATTAACCGTGTTTGCATTTTTAAAAAATATATATTTTATTGTGATAGAAAGCAATTGGACTGTTCTAAAATATATATTTTTTAAATGGTAAATTGTGCTATTAGTACTGTGCCATTAACTGTTAAATAAAACCATAATAAGACTTTAAAAGGTCTGTAAAGAAATTTAAATAATGTTTTTTTTGTAAAGAATGTATTATTTCATGAATTGGGCATTCTAAGCCAACAAACTCACACATATCACACACAACCACCACACACACGCAGCCATTACTCACATGATCCAGAATTTAATTACTGAAGAGCTCTGATACAATGTTACACCCTGCACAGTATTGAGAGTTATATTATCAAGGGGTTTTAGGTTTATCGCATATCAAGTAATAATCCTTGTGTTTGTATACGGTATGCCTAAATATAGTATGTGCATCCTTCGCTGTTTATTTAGGTCTTTGGCATTTTCGATAGTTAGTGGCACCCCTACATTTGTCTTTGGCACTCTGTGTGTCCCTCCATAATGGAGATGCCAATGAGCACCGTAGATTTCAAACTCAATCGTTCTCTTATTATTTAAGCATTTATTTTATTTCTAAAAGGACATATATGCTCTCAGACTGCAATCGTGAAGGTTTCTGTGGACAGCAAACAAATTGAAAAATAAAAATGTATAGATTTATTCGCTTCAATCAACCTCACCATCTTTTAAAGATTTTGGCTTATCTAACTGCTGAGCATGGAGCATTGTCCCATAATGTATAGAAGTTGCTCACTCACTTGTTATGGCCTTGTTGTGCCAGGTGATTTCCATAACAGACATAGCACAAGACATTTGCACATGTTCAATATAAACTACTAGAGATCCCTTTATGATTTATTACTATCCTTATAAGGTAAAAACAAGAGACACTCCCTTCTAAGCTCACAGCTGGCCAGCTTGGAATATGTTCAAATCTGTCTCTCACACACCCTCATACACATCTGGTAGGAAGTTTAACCACTTCATTTCTTAAATTCTTTGCTCTTCTGCTCAGTCTAATTCCCCACACAAACACTCAGCCGTACTTTTCATTTTTTCCCCCCCCTTCTTTCACAAGCTGGAATCATGAGGCCCCGATCCTTTTTTTCCACTCCCACATACTCAGCCAGTGATTCAGGTCTGCCTGAGAATGACATCATGACCATTGGGTGATATAAAGAGATCCAGGAGATAGTGTGTGTCAGTATTCAAGAGATAAAGAGACAGCAGCAAAGAAAGAGAGGACCTTCAGATAAACTCCACAGGTAGTTGAAAAGCTCAAAACAACACCTGGATTAAGAGATCACTAATTCACAAGTGTAACAGTGCATCATATACACCAACAAGGTAAGAGGGAAATAGATCGATGATACATTCTAGATCTCAACATACAGAATGTTACGTGATACCGTTTAATATTGTAAACATAATCCAGTTTGAGTTATTTAGTCTCCCATTTATGAAGGAAATTACTAAAGCGTGGCGTTAATTAGAAAGGTTATTTACTAATGTGAGAATTCCACGGGAACTCAATGTGAATTTTAAATTAAAGGTAAGTGTAAATTAACTAAAAGCATAGATAACTTAGAGATTTTCCAGTTTGGCTTTTTTTTTTTACCTAAAATTTGAAATTCAATAAATTCACTTTGAATTCTCACTTTAATGAATAACCCTGCAAAATTATATTACAATAAAAGACTTGCATGCGTAATAACATTCCCAGGGTGGTATTAAACGGCATGTGAATGTATTGATGACAGGGCAGGTGGGGGAAGTCTCCCGTAGAATATATTTTAAGAATATTTTTGTATTTTTTTCTGTTATGCTGCAGATGTAGCAAGGGTAAATGTATGTATTTTCTTAGTCTTTTTTTCATGATACAAGCGAAGACAGGAAAGACAGTTCAGAAAATGAACATTGCATAGTTGGGAGCTGTACCACTTAGGTAATCTTGAGATATTTCAAAATATTAACCGTCAACTGTCCGTTGTCAATATTCTATGTAGTAAGTCTCTGTGGTTCTAGGGCCAGCCCTCATGGTAAACCCAATTTATTTCAATTTAAATACATACTATATATATATATATATATATATATATATATATATATATATATATACATATATATATATATATATATATATATATATATATATATATACATAGCGGAATCACCTGTCTTGAAACAGGTTTTGATCTAAGCAAACATTTTTCTGGAAGCTTAACTTAAAATCAAAATTATATATATATATATATACAAATTTTAGGTGAGGTAGATAGAAGAAAATGGAAAGGGATTCTATATTTATACAATGTTTGTTTGATTGTACTGATAAATTCTTTCATTTTTTTGTTCTTTTCTTTCTATTTTTTTTTCTATTCATATCATCTTCCTCTTGCACCAATCAATTCTTTATGTCTCTCTTGTCCATCGTTCTTCTGTATCGGTCCCTATAGATGTCTACTTTATCTCCTTCCCTTCAGTTCCTTCTGCATCTTTGTCTGACTATTATAGGAGTCTTGGCTTTTCCCACTGAGAGTGATGGTAGGAACCAGACTGCAGACAATTCTACTGGACTTTGGGATACTAAAACAAGCTCTTTTGCCACCATTATCCCAACAGAGCAGCCCAGTCAACCTTCAGTTCGCCAGCTTCCTGAAATAACACGGAGCCGCAAAACAACACCAGATAAGATTCTGTATGTTACTGGTGGAATTGGAGAGGATTATGATTATTATGAGGATGAAGATGACAGTGTAGAAGAGGCGACTTTAGCACCTCCTCATGTCTCTGTCATACCCTGTCCTTATAACCGATGCAAACACCTGGAGTTACCATGCGAAGAAATACAGATGAGGGCAGGGGGTAATTGCCTTTGTCCTGGATTAAGTGGACGCTCAATTAAGCCTGACTCTCCCCGTCTGCTGCAAGTCATTCCTGGAGATCAAGGAGCTAGTGTGAACTGGTGTTCTCCACTGTCCACAGTGCAAGGCTACAGGGTGGTGTACAGAACTAGTGATGGCCCTATGGAGATAGGGCCAATTCTCAATTCCACCTATCGTTTCTATTCCATTAACAATCTCTTGCCTGATATGTCCTACAGAGTGTGTGTGGTGGCATTTAACGAAGCTGGTGAAAGTGCAGTAGGAGAAAGCGAAGAAGAGGAACAAGAAAGATTGAAGTATGGCACAATGGGTCCTTGCATGGTATTCCACACCTCTGGCAAATGGGAATCAAAGATTTATCTAGGGATAGGGGTTGGTTTAGCTCTGCTGGCTGGCGTTTTAGGTTTGATTGTATGTGTGTTTTGGTTGTGGAAGAAAAAGAGAGTAAGGAAATTGACTGATTCAGGTGAAAGAGGAATCACAAACATGTCATTTAAAGCAGATAGTGTAGAACAGTTATGATAGAAGTGCTAAAGAACAGTTGATGCATCCAGAGTGTTCGATGTATGTACATATGTAAAGTGATGTTTACTATCTAATGTCTGAATCAAAAAGTGTTTTATCTTAATTTATTTATGTATTTATTTAAATAAAATATATATATTTTTCTAAAGACCCGTCTTATTCTTGTTTCTTCAAAGATCCGATGCAGACGTTTTGTTGGGGTAGTTAGATGAGACTGTGTTGCAGAAATTTGTCATATAGGATTATGAAAAGGAGTTTCAAGTGCTTAATCAATGTAGAATTTTTTATTGTAATGATGATTATAATTGATGGGGATGTTATCGTATTATGCACTTGTTGAGGCATAGGGTACAGCAAATGCATTAATTCAGTGTCCAGTTAAGGACATGTCGGGTGCAAGAATTTTTACAAATCTAGGCGAAAATCCATTTTGCCTCCCCATGTATATCTTGCATCTCTCCCAGTCTTTTCCTATCTGTCTTATGTTTTTCTCTTTTCTCATTTTCATCCTAACTAGATTTCCCATGGTCTTTCTACCAGTCAGCATGTGTTTTTAGTTTGTGCGGGAGGGTTCTGAATGAGCGAGTAATGAAGTCTTAGTTTTTGGGGAGTCTGTGTATGGACGTTGGGGAGGAGGGGGGTGACTAAGTGTTGTGTTGCTGCTCCACAACCATATTTATATATCCACATGTGGATATAGTGGTTTAACATACTCTTTCCTATGGTAAGTAGTATCTGATTTGTGTGTTTCTATTACAGATAGGGTTGCTCTATCATCATATTTTTGCAGGAAATTTATAAAAAACCTGTATTTTGCAGGGTTTCAATTTGTAGTTTGGCAGTATGTGGAACTCATATGCTCTCACTGGGTCTCATTTACATTTTGAAGTACAAATCACATTTGTATCACCCAGGATATACTTGAAAATGAGAGAAATCTCAATGTATCTTTCCTGGTAGAATATTTTATAAATAAAATAAATAAATACATTTGAGCAGAAATCATGTAAGTAATTTATGCTCAAAAAATTGCATTTACATCTTGTAAGTATTTCCATGCGGTGTGTACTACTCACAAAATGTTAGCACAATTTCTTGCTCAACTTTTTAGAGTATGTATTGTGCAAAAGTTGAGTTCCAGTTCCAAAAATCAAGTATGCTGTTACTGACTTTTTTTACTCAAACAAATTGAGCAAAAGTTGAGTAAACACACCATACAGATCAGAGCTGTAGTAAGGGCTGGTGCAAGGATTTGTGCCACCTTAGGCAAAAAATAATTTGCCGACCCCCGCTCCCTAATGTTGTGACATCCAAATGTTCTACCCATATGATCTGCCCCACATATGCCCCATCCCGTTTTAAGATCTTTACTTTGTCCCCACCAGCCCATCTGTGTGTCTCGTTGTCCCCCCAGTCCCACTGAGTGTATCTTTGTCTCCCCAGCCTCCCTTCTGTGTGTCGTTATCACCCTGCCAGCCCTCATACTGTGTGTCACTTTGACACCCCTCACTCTCCCTTCTATGTGTCTTTGTCAACCCCTTTTGTTGTTTATCTCCTCCTTCCCCTCACCCCCAGACTCTCTTTGTTTCTCTTCCATCAGACTCCCTTCTGTGGTTTCTCCTCACCCTCCAGTCTTCCTTCTGTGGTTTCTTCCCCTCTGACCACCTTTTATTGTTTCTCTCCACCTTCTCAACACCCCAGACTCTTTTCTTTGGTTTCTCTCCCCCACCACAGACTTCCTTCTGTGGTTTCTATCTACCCTTCAGACTCCCTTCTGCAATTTCTTTGCTCCCTCCCATCCCCCCAGATACCCTTCTATGGTTTCTACCCCCCAGACACCCTTCTGTGGTTTCACTCCCCCCTCAAATTCCCCCAGACTTCCTTCTGTGGTTTTTCTCCCCTCTCCCAACCTCCATGCCCCTGCTCACCTCCCTCCTTTTTGTAGCATGGCCGAGCCACAGACCAGGGTAAAGGAGCTTCTGTTTGGGTCTGACAGGAAGCAGTTCAGTTTTTGCTGAGAGCACTTGCTGTAAGACCGGGTAGAGGTTACAGAAGCTTCTCTATCTCTATCATGGTCCACAACTCGACCACGCTACATGCTGAGACCTGCAGGTGAGGTGCACTGTGCAGAGTGCTCCCTTCCTGCCAGCCAGTGAGCCCTAGGCGGCCGCCTAATCTGCCTAGCGGTCGCACCAGTCCTGGCTGTAGTAAAAGGTGAAGTAAGAAGACATACAACTAAACTGTATCCTCAAAAGTGAAAAATATCCGCACCAGCTCGCATGTTGAGAGGGTAAACTGTTCTGTGGGGGTTCTGTGTTGGGAGTTTTAGAGGTCTGTTTCCCAGTGCCTTGGCTGGAGCTTAGCAGGTGGGCTGTTAATAGCAGCCCCAGACTTAGTAATGCCGGGGAGGGAACTGTCAATGTTATGCGTATCATCCCTTGGAGGGTGAGTACACATTTGTAAATGTATAAATACTGAGTGTCTGTAGTATTGCTTGGTATTCACCATCCTTGGCTGATGTTTGGAGAACTGCTAAGCTATGATCACTCTACACATCTGAGCTATATGAGGTAGGGAGAATAATGGAGATAAGATATATAAAGATAAAGTGCAATATAACTGGCACTTAAAAAGTACAAAAGTGCAGCTAGTGGAACCAATCACGATAATTCCACAAATGTATAAAAACACAGCAAACAAACAGTGTGAACAGCGCACAGAATATAAATATAAATGTGTATTATATCCTAATTAATCCATAAGTGTGGTAACATGCACACCCTTCAAATGTGTACACAAATGTGACATAAAATATATTTTAAAAACCCACAAATGTACCCAATAGTATGGAATAGTTGTCACTGCAGAAATGAGAAAGCAAAAACTCTCATAGGGGTAGTATAGTAATCACTCATAGTTATTAAGTAGTAATATTTCCTGAAAGGGATTCTCCAGTGCCAGGAAAGCATATTTGTTTTCCTGGCACTGCAGGACCCTCTTGTGCACCTCTCCCTTCAGTGACTTACCGGAGTCCAGCGCCCGCTCCTCCCCCGCTGACATCAGCCGGCGGGGGAGACCTAATGTGCATGTGCGGCAATGGCTGTGCACGCCCATTAGACCTTCCCATAGGAAAGCATTATACAATGCTTTCCTATCGGTATTTCGGTGACGCTGGAGGTCCTCACATAGTGTGAGGACCTCCAGCGTCGTTTTAAACCACTTTTCGTGTTTTACGAACACGGAATTCTCCTCTAGTGGCTGTCTAGTAGACAGCCACAGGAGGACTTAACCTTGCAATGTAAATATTACAGTTTATGAAAACTGCAATAATTACACTTGCAGGGTTAAGGGTAGTGGGAGTTGGCACCCAGACCACTCCAATGGGCAGATGTGGTCTGGGTGCCTGGAGTATCCCTTTAAGGTAACATTTGGATGAGCCTAACTGACTTAGGTAATAAAGCTCAGGTGTGATGCTTATCATTCAGGACAGGATGGATAGTAACTTTATCCTCAATAGTAAAAAACAGGAGAAGGCAACACGAGTTAAGGTAAACTAGGTAACATTTATTATAACAACATGCCCATTCTGGGTGGGTCTGCCCTTACATTCAAGTTTGCTACAGTGAACATGCTTTCCTATGGGGATTTCACTGATGCTGGATGTCCTTATGTAGAGTGTGAGGACATCCAGCATCATTTAAGGGACCCAGAGTCTGGATGTCCTCACACTCTACATAAGGACAACCGGAAACGTCTCTACAGGCTGTCCTAGTACTGCAATGTAAATATTGCAGATTCTCAAAAACTCAGAAATTCACTATTTTGGGTTCCTTTCTCAGCATCCTGATTTTGTTCCTTTATGGTCCACATATGGAGAACTAGGGAACCATCTCCAGCTAAGACAGCACAAGCACCCCAATAGACATACTTGTGCTGTTCTGATGGCACTATGGCTAAGCAGAGAGTACATCAACAGGGCTTTCTGCATGTTGAACCCTGAGTGGGGTCAGACAAGGAGGGTATCATGCAAGCTGGCGTGTGTTCATGCTTGACTGACTTGCCCTTTCTGGGTGGGTCTGCCCATGTCTGGCATCATTTGTACGTTCAGTAGAGCCACGGGTTGGCAAAAGGTTACAATGTCAAGATTTTTCTGTGGATTTGGGGTCAGGCTGCTTCTCACAGATCTGTGTCGTATGGGCAGATGAAGCTCCAGAAGCTGAAGTATGAAGATGGTGGCACCGGCAAAGGACAGCTTCAGATATAGTTATATAGTGCTTGGCATTATGATGCTATGGTGCTCACTGACATATAACCATTCTCATTGGGGCTGGTAACAGAGCTTGCTGGGAGACTGGGGTTTAAATTTAGACTACAAAAATACTAGTCCTATTCAAAAACTTCACAAAATTTGTATTGCACTGCTTTTGATCAGAAAAAGTGCCAGTTGGTGTGCATTGAGAAACTCACATACACTGCTAAAATCACACTGATTGATAAGTACTCCTACTAACACACACTCACACTCTTTATGGCCAATACACTCACACAATCTAACTGAGACCCAAGTACACAATCTCACTGAAGTATGCATGTACACACGCATACAACACAGACCTATGAACTCACACACACTCAATCTTACATACAGTGGCATACATAACGGGGTCGCGGCTGCGACCGGCACCGGCCCACCAGTAGCCGGCCACCTGAGGGCCCCCGAGGCTGGCCCTAGTGTCACTGGGCTGGCGGGCGCACTGATACCGCAGCCGGAAGATAACGTCATCTTCCCGCTCTGTTATCAGTACGCGGCGCGCGAGGGAGCTTAAGAGGAAGCACGGTGACACCACTGGACCCCAGGGAATCCCCTCAGCTCTCCAAAATGTAAGAAGGCTGGGGGATTAAATTTAAAAAAAAAAAGTGTGTGTGTTAGTGTTAGAGTGTGTGTTAGTGTGTGTGTTAGTGTTAGAGTGTGTGTGTTAGTGTGTTAGTGTTAGAGTGTGTGTATTAAGAGTGTGTGTGTTAGTGTGTTAGAGTGTGTGTGTGTTAGTGTTAGAGTGTGTCAGTGAGTGTGTTACTGTGTGTGTCTGTTACTGAGTGTGTTAGTTTGTGTGCGTCTGTTAGTGAGTGTGTGTTTTGTAGTGAGTGTGT